TTAAATTATTTATGTAATTTATTATATAATTACTTATATCACAAATTATTTTTTATTATACAATTTAAGATAAGGTAATACCAATTAATCTAAAAAGTCGTTCTAATTTGTTGTTCCACTACAGAAAATGACATAGAAAAGTTTTTTTAGTTTTAAATTACATAATAAAAATTTATTTTTTTATTTCTTAATTTATTTTATTTATATATCATTTGACTTAAATTAAAAATCTTTTAATTTTAACAAACAAATTTATTATTAAATTATTTATGAAGTTGACAAAAAAAAAAAAGCCTTCTAGAATTAATAGTTTTAAAGTCAAAACTTTGGCGAGAAAGAAAAAAAAAAAAAAAACCGTACCCAGTTAAAGACCAAGTAATTACTGTATATAATTGTATGCAATAAAGTTTTGCATAAAGTTTCAAAATGCAAATATCCCTGACCTCATTAAATTCATATCCGAGATTAATATCAAAGTCAAATCGTTGCATAGATTTTCTCATAAGATATATCCGGCTTTAACCAAACGAACTACTTTTTAATAGTATAATTAATGCTTACGTATATGAAGTTGGACACCATGACCCAAGACCTTGACGTCTATTGGAGTGTCAAAAAGGGAGACTTCATCGCCAATTTCCCATCACACCTTAAAACCGCGTCGAGCTTTATCTCTTGTGGAAAAAGGTGGAAACGTGATCACACGTTGACAGGTCATAATAAAAGTAGACAGGAAGATGGTTTAGTGGGGGAGAAAAAGATAAAAAAAGTTCCATTAAAAAGGAGAGAGAAAAAAAAATCATAAGAGGCTAAATCTAATCCATCAATTGACGTCACGATACAAATAAATTTTAACTCAAAGCTTAATTAAGTTATTAATAAAAAAAATTATCATGTAAATTAACTTTATGATTTGGTGTTTTTTTTTGGCAGGGACGCATTTCAAAAGGCCCAAAGTAATTGACCGCATGCTATGACTTTTAATGGAAATTAAGATGAAAGGATTGCGGATATGAAATATTTCATAGATGTTTTGGTTAGTAGTTGTCTGAAAGGAATCGAAATGCAACATTGCTACTGATGTCTTTTTTCTTTTCTTTTTTCTTTTTTTTTTTTTTGTCTAGAGTTGATACTGTGTTTGACCAAATAGACATAGCCCCTAATGTATGAAGTATTACATCTTGCTTGGAGCCTGAAAACTATGTTTTATGGGAAACTGATCAAGTGCTTTCCTTTAATCATCTTTATTCCCAATATAATGATTTTGAGAATTATAATTTGTTTAATTGTTATTGTCCTTAAATTGCTTTTTCTTGGTGATAATAAATAGGATGTTTGATTAAGGCTTCAATAACTTAATAATTAAACTTTTAGAAATGTTATGAATATCAACCTAACATTAAGTTTTAACATCTTATATATTGCATTCATTTATTTTTCATTATTTTTCATTGTAACGATCCTATGTAAGGTACGTTTATTGTTATTGTCCTTAAATTGCTTTTTCTTGGTGACAATAAATAATATGTTTGCTTGAGGCTTCAATAACTTAATAATTAAACTTTTAGAAATGTTATGAATATCAACTTAACATTAAGTTTTAACATCTTATATATTACATTTATTTATTTTTCATTGTTTTTCATTGTAACGATCCTATGTAAGGTACGTTTATTATCTAGATCCAAGATACATTCACCCATGTCCTTTACCTTTTCTCATTAGATTTCCTTTTTATCTTTTTTAATCAAATGGAAAATGCATTTACATATTTAAAAGTCATTGAGTTCGATGAAAATTGTACCAAGTTGTCATCAAAGATGCATTTACACATTTAAAAGTCATTGAATTTGATGAAAATTGTACCAAGTTGATGAAGACATATTCCTAAACCTCAACATTCATGTCGCCAACAACTCTTTGAAAAAATCATTTATGTCAATGAAATTTCAACGAATATAATTTCTTTTAGTTAAATGTTTTGTCATGATCATCAATAAAATGTCAAACTCTTTTTCCGTGTTGGAACTTACTTTCTAAGTCTTGTATTCAACCGTGGTAGTTGCATGTTACATGGATATTGTTTATTCCAATATTTTTATGTTACGTTTTTTACTAAATCATTAATAAATATTATAATTAGTGTGAATAGGTAATTACACATTTTAAATTATAGTATAGATTATGTCAACTAATAAACTCATCATTTAAAAGATTTTTTATCAGTTTTTATAAAATCATTATGCATGTATTTTTACTACCGTAATCTAATTTTATTAATTATTTTTAATTAATATATTAATTTTATATTAAA